CAGTTGCAATTAAAAATATTGCAAACCTTCTCAATCCTCCCCCCTCCCACGGATGTTTCTCTTCCCTCTCTCTTATCCTCCACACAATCATGTGGCGGCTCCTACCCAACACCATGCAGTTTATCAGACCTCACCAAGCTAATGACCCTTCTGGGACTCTACAGGAGACGTATTGAAAGCAAAGCTGGGGGTTATGGGGGTCAGATTGACTTCATTTTCTCAAAACGGACACATTAGCTATACCTACTGTCCAACAAGATACAAAATCCAGTAGTTCTCTTGCAGAGCCACCCAGATTACTACTACATTAAAGAGTCACCGGTTGAGCTTTGGTGTACAACCATACACAGCAACACAAGCCCAGCATGTGCATGTCCAAAAGCATTGACTGAATGGTGTTAACAATAAGGAGAACATTTGGAGGCCTCCTCACCTCAAAGTGATTATTTTTTTTCATTAGCAACAGATAAGAGAAATTTTGTAAAAGCATTTTAGTACTGCTGGAAGCATGGAAGATAAAAATTCACTTCCAATCTCTTCCTTCTGACTTGCTTGGTACTTTTGATGGTGGAGAAAAGTGGGAAAATTGTGTTCTGCCGTAGGAAATACCTGCTTCCTACTACACTAAGCAGTGAGTAATTTCAAGCGATGAGCAGGTACTCAAATCTTGGCATCTTTCTGACCACTTGGGTAAGAGCAAGCTTTACGCTGGAGCTGTCAAGTTTGGATGGCAGGTCCCCAGGGCTTTCCACTCGCATGCTGTTAACTATGCAGTGCATGTTTAAGTCACTATATGAACATATTCTTCTCTTGCATGTGCCAAGTATATGTGAGGGACAAGTGACACTGGAGTAGCAGAGGACAGTGGAATGGGTGGGAGAGGCCCACAACTCAGCGGAAGGGACCTGGGTTCCTAAAGGAGCATTTCTGGCACTATGGTGCAAGCAGAGAGCTCAGTGTTGTTCCTAAAAACCAACTGTGTTCCAAGCAAATCAGCTTTTTATGTTCTCGTGTGCTACCTAGATAGCCCTCCCCCTTTGCAGTGCCCAGTATTTATGTTTCCAGATGATAATGATGTGATGTGGCTGGCAGAGTAATTTAAATAATTGGATATTATCGTGAGGAGCAAGCACCTAATTAGATCAAAATAAACTGAGAACTGAAATTTTCATCTGTTTCTAATAACCCCTTAGCTCCATACAGTGTTGCTGCCACGGCAGAGCGTTCGTTATTCGCCGAGGCTTGGAGCTGACTCGTGATGGAGACTCCCACCCAAGCGAAGAGCTGGATGGTGGGTTTTGGCCAACACGTGGTGGATCCATCCCTCCCCGGTGCTGCCGAGTATTTTGCATTTCTATTCATTTGGGTTTGCCCTTGTGTAAAACGGTGAGGCTTAAGTTTCTATCAGCGATGACCAGGTTTGGATGGGTAGTTCCAGCGGTAAAAGACTCGAAGCCTGATCTTACCGACTGTGCTTCATCTTTCTTTAAATGCATTCAATATTTAATGATCTCTCAATTCACGTGTGCGTATGCATTTAGAAAAATTGCAGCTAGCACGATTGCTGCAGAAAGGATGAGGCCTTTTAGTGCAAACACAGGAGAGGCAGGGCACACGTTTCCCAGCATTAGGTATCACGGAGACCTGGTGTTGCTCTCCAGCACGTTGGCTTTGATCTGACCTGCAAAAAAGGATTCCACTGGATTTTAAAAGTTCAGTAAGTGAGCAAAATAATCTTGTTTTGGCTTACGGTTTTCACATTGAGACAACTAGAGCTGAAAGCCTTTGGTATTCACAGGGTTGTTTAGAGTGGAAGTTGTCAGGATTACAAGAAAGGGAAGAAAACAAGAGAAAAATATATACGAGTGGAGGTTTAAGCATACATTTCTTTTATTCTTAGGGATTGGTTCAGTGTCTTTCTGAGGATTAGTTGCTCTTTCTCTCATTTCCTTGTACTCTTATGCAGCTGATTTATTTAAAGGTATGTCAGTGTTGGCTGAAATGAAGCACTGTGCCTCCTCTTCCTGCTTATTGCTGACCGCTCCAATAATTCATTTTTTAGCTCATTAGCTAACAGGGGATGTGAGCAGTGGTCCTCGGGGGGATTGGAATGAGGTTAAGTGATCTACTGCTGACGACTCTGCTCTTGGACTGGCCTTCCTTTGGGGAAATGAAACCTCAACCAAGACAAGCTGTGGATCCCCGAAGTGGAATTGGGGCATCAGAGAAACAATTATAGTATTTATGTCTCGGTGTCACGATTGCTAAGGTGAATGGATACGCAGGAGTTGAAGCAGGAGTTTTTGCAGGAAAAGCTTCAGAATTTTCCCATTTGGGATGAAATGACACCAAGATGGGGTGAGGTTGCCTGGGGATGGTAACATGAAAGATACTTGTTTGGAAGTGATCCATAAGACATGGGGAAGCAGGCATTTCTTAGGTTTGTGATGAAGTTTTGTTCTCTATGAGAAAATGCAAACAATTTATCTACTGGACCGTTGGATAACTTATAAATTTCATTTGATGGCTGATGCCAGGGACATGCTGCCTCCAAATGTCTAAGGCTTTTAAAACAGCTTTATTTTGTCCTGAAGGGTTGTGACCAGAACTCACCAGATAAATCTGAGGGATACTTTCCCAGCCAGGGCAAGCCCAGTGGTAGAATTGGGCCTTACTGAAATAAGTCTTTTGGTGGTCAAATTGCCCTAAGTGGTCAATAGTTACTGGGAGCTTCAAGGTGGGACCATTTGCACCCTGCTTCTTTCCTCCCTCTCCTAACCCATGAGTAACAGAGGTAGCAGCATAGAATCATAGAATCATAGAATCATAGAATGCTTAGGGTTGGAAAGGACCTCTAGAGGTCATCTAGTCCAACCCCCCTGCACACGCAGGGACACCTAGAGCACGTGGCACAGGACTGCATCCAAGCGGGTTTTGAAGATCTCCAGAGAAGGAGACTCCACAACCTCTCTGGGCAGCCTGTTCCAGTGCTCTGTCACCCCCACTGTTAAGAAATTTTTCCTTAAAGCTTTCTCTTCTCCAGGCTGAACAGGCCCAGCTCCCTCAGCCTCTCCTCATAGGGCAGATGTTCCAGGCCCCTGATCATCCTTGTGGCCCTGCGCTGGACTCTCTCCAGCAGCTCCACATCCCTCTTGTACTGTGGAGCCCAGAACTGGACACAGTACTCCAGATGCGGCCTCACCAGGGCTGAGTAGAGGAGCATGCTCCTCTTTCTTAGATGTACTTTTTTATTATTATTTCTCATCTTTTACCAGCCTTTGGGGACGGTAGGGTAATGAATCCAAGCAAGATGTTGGTGTGAGGGTCTCTATCCTGCTTCTGCAGCCACCCAGGAGGTGCAGGAACACCTGGTGGGACCTGTGTTCATGCTGCACCATTGCAGCTCCTGCAAAATGGGAAATCTGGGCCCAGGAACATGCAAAACAGCTACCTGCAACTCTGCATCTCGCTTAGTTTTGGGACGTGGCATGGCGTTGCTGTTGCAATTTAGGGCACATTGTGGTTAGAATTGGGAGATTTGTGTAAAACAGCTTGTTTTCTGAACAGAAAGTGACTTCTCTTCAAGCCTGATTATTGCAACAGCTGATGCTGGGCCTGGAGCCAAAAGTAACTATCACTCAAAAACTGGGCTGGGGAGAGGGGGATTCATTTGCTCTCTCAACTCGTCTAATTTTCTGTGTGTGCTAGCAGCGGTGCAGGCAGAAGCTACGGTAGAAGCATATTTTGCTGCTAGGATGTATGAGCCTAGGAGAGGTAAATCCCCTAAGCCCTGACGTGTGCCAGTGTTGTTGCACAGCACAGGTTGAATCACTTGATTCTTCAGGCTGGCACTTTTAAATCTGCCCTTGGATATATTGGTTATACTCTCAATACCTTTATGCATGCTAAAAATACACACACGTGTGTGTGTGTATATATATATATATACACACACACATATATATATATATATATGAGACTTTTGCTAAGCAGTCTTGATTTGTAGATATGTTTCGGCTGGATTGATACTGGACCTGCAATAGCTTCACTGGCTAAAAACAACTGAAAAACTTACATGTTGTCATCCAGCCTCAAAGCACCACTAGGATTCCTGTGGGTTTTGTTGTTGTTGTTGGAGGTTTGCTTTGTTTTGTTTTGTTTCTTTTTTTTTTTAACCTTAAAAAATCACGAAGGACAGGAGTTCAGCCTTGGAAGAGTAACAAAAGTCCTTTTCTTCCACCTCTCCAGGGCGAGCACCTGAAATGACACTGCCTTTTATCAGATAACCTGCCAGCAAAGGTTAATTTGCAGCTCTCCGAATGGTTTTTGGATGGTTTTCGATTTGGGGTTTTCTTTTTTTTTTTTTCATCTTTTAGATGGCAGGAGTAACTTCATGGTTTGACTGAAACAAAGGGCTTTTTGTGCTAATTTTCTGTTTGCCCTTTTTCTTCAGAAAAAAAGCCTGTACCTCTTTGTAGGGTAAATTGTCCCCGGGTGGAGAGAAGCTCCTGCTTGGGGAAACTTTGCATGAAAGCAGCCAGGAGGTCACAGTGAGGGCACTCCACATGTACCAGGAAATGATGCAAAACTAATCCAGATTTGCTGCTGGAAGGATCTGTTTACATAAGTATTTAAAAACAGATTAGGGCTAACCTGACACTAGATTACCCAGAGTAGTGTAAACACCACTGAAAGGCGTAAACAGAGCTTCTTCCTTTTGTACTCCAGAGGAAAAAATATGTCACCGGAGCAAGTTGCCTAGACTAGGTGATGGGCAGCGTTTTCGCAGGCCCAGCAGATTGCCGTTTTTCTGTTACATTGGTAATGTCTTGGAACTTTTAAATAAATGAAAATAAAGAAGGTACTTCTGCAAGCAGGGCTGAGTCTTGCTGTGGCATTGTGGCCCCTGCGAGATGCAAGCCCTGGTGCAGGCCACCTGCAGGGTGGCAGTGCTGTAGCCTGGTGGATTTTAATCCCCCTCTTTCCTTTGACTTCTGCAGGGATGAAAAAGAGCGCTGGATCCGTGCGAAGTACGAGCAGAAGCTCTTCCTTGCACCGCTGCAGTGCCTGGAGCTCTCACTGGGCCAACATCTCCTGAGGGCTACAGCCGAGGAAGACCTGCGGATGGTCATCCTGCTCCTGGCTCACGGCACGCGGGATGAAGTGAACGAAACGTGCGGCGATGGCGACGGGCGCACCGCCCTCCACCTGGCCTGCAGGAAAGGAAACGTGGTCTTGGTGCAGCTCTTAATTTGGGTGAGTAGCTGCTGCATGGGAATGGGGACCACACCAGACCGGAGATCTTTCTGGGCTGGCTGCTGCCTGTGTATGCTCCTCTGGCAGGGTGTCCTACACCTCTGACCAGCCAGCTTGGCCAAGTGCTCCCTCTTGTCCTCGTGTTCCTCATTGCATGCTCTGAAGGAAATGTGCCTCTTTTTTCCTTCTGTCTGCTGGTACTTGATAGAAAGCAAACATGAGCGCAGAAGTGAGGAAGGAGAGGTTTCCCTAGTTCCAAGTGTGAGCATCTCCCCATAGAAACATGTACATGAGGCCCATCCCATGTTTACTGCTCTGCTCTCCTGCCCTCTCCTTACTTTCCTGTCCCCAGTTGGATTAAAATCTCCCCATCCCAAGCCTGTTCCCTCAGTCTTATGGCCCTGTCGGCACCCAAGCTCCAACATCTCCTCTCCCTGCAGTACGGTGTGGATGTGATGGCCCGCGACGCCCATGGCAACACGGCGCTGGCCTACGCCAGGCAGGCCTCGAGCCAGGAGTGCGTCGACGTCCTCCTCCAGTACGGCTGCCCCGACGAGCGCTTCGTCCTCATGGCGACTCCCAATTTGTCCCGCAAAAACAACAACCGGAACAACAGCAGCGGAAGAATGCCCACCATCATCTGAGGCACTCGTCGGCGTCTTCGCTGACCGGAGTCACACCCGCGGCCTCACATTCCTCCATCCCCATCGCAGCTCTGCTCTGTGAGCCCGCAAACTTTCCTTTCCCCTTTTCCCTTAGTCCCATCCCGATCCCACGCAGGAACGTCGCCTCCGGGGAGCGCGAGGGCATGAGGAGCAGCAGGAGGGGCTGCAGAGGAAGCTTTGTTTCAGCAGGCGCTCCCGGATGAGGACGGCAGTGCGGGAGCGAGGGCACACACGGGGGTTCTTCCCCGGGGCCATGGCGCGGGGAGCGCCAGCACGGCGGCCTCTCGGCACCGGCTCCACCGGTGGGGCAGGACGGGCTGGAGGGAGTGGCGAGTGGAAGCGAGAGGGAGAAGGAGCAAAGCGAACCAGCAACTTTCCGTAAGTGACAGCTGAGCACATCAGTACGTTTCACCTCTACCGAGCGGAGCGCTTGGATTTCATTCTCTTCTCCGAAGAGCTTGACGGCATAAATCAGAAGCAAGCACAGAGTTTGTCAGGTTTGAAGCTCCTATGATGGTATGTGTCAAATCAGTTGTAGCTAATCTGTCCAGGGAGAATACTGGCTTCATTACACTTGTATAGTTGAGTTCTTCCAGCATTACCGCTGTTTAATAGAACATGATTAGTCATCACGGAGAAAAAAGCATATTAGCTGAGGAGGTAGTTACATGGCACGCTTCGGTGATTGCTTGGATGTGATTGCAATATTCTTAGAAGCATCATATTATCTCAGACATGTTCTCTCAAGCCCTTGGAGCCCTCCTTTCTAAATTCACTGTCATAATTTAGTATCTGTTTAATTTTTCAGCCCAAAGAGAGGAAATGAGTTGCTGAGTGTTATTTGACTGCAGTCTCCTTGGTGTAAAAACAAAATGGAAAAAATAAATAAGAGTAATATGGAAACACAAAAAGGAATAATGAATACTGCTAAGGAAAAAAAAAACATTTCAAGTACATTTAGTGAAATTAAGAAATGCGCTAGAGGTTAATAATTTTTTTTCCAGCCAGAAGAAATATGTCCTGTCATTTTGCCAAGGTAAATGTGTTGAGTTTTTGGTCACTTCTGTGATGCATTGCCTAACTTATACAGATTTTGTATTGTGTCTTTAGATTATATGTACGTAAAATCTATTTGAATAAAAAAAATCATGAGGATGCATTGATTATTTTTTTTGGTGCAGAAAATGACATCTCTGTTAATTTATAAACTGTAATGAATGTGAACTACATAATGTGCAACTAGTTAGGATCAGTGGATTACTGGTCACTGTATGTTGAAAATATTCCCAGCAGTGAACTCCCTATTTGCATTGTAAACCTTTGAAAAACATATCAGAATGAAATTATGGCATGTTTGGCATTAAAATATATATATATCTAAGTGGATGAGATGTTTTGGAAAGGAAAAAATGGCTGTTGCTCAGCCTTGTAAATATATTTTACGTCAGAAACCATGGAGCTTTCACAAGCCATGGCAAAAAGCCATAGTCTAGCTGGGCGAAGATCAGATTTGATTAATTCCCAAATTGATAGCCGTCAGCAAGGCGGGCAGGGCACGGCTGCTTTGACTCCGAACTTGGCTGCTTTCGGGAAGAAAAATGGCTTGTGAAAGTAGCCTGGACAGTTCATTTGAATTCCAAGTTTTAATATTTGATTTGATTATTTTGGTATCACCAGACAGATCCTAGCTTCTGCCCTTTTCTATGAACTGGGATGCTGGTGCAGGGAAGCAGGCAGTAAGGCTTTTGGCAGAAAGAAAAGTGATTTTTTTTTTTAAGTGGCATATGGCAATGTGAAGCTGGGGGAAGGGTATATCACAGGGAAAGTTGAAAACTCAACTGAATTAGATGGCAAAGGAGCAATTATATGAAGTCAGTGAGGTGCACACAGCATAGTAATTTGCAAATCTACCTGCTCCTGCATTTCACAAGCCTTCGGTGGTGTTCCTCCTTTGGGCTCTGGATTTCAATTGACAGACAACCGGGAGGAGGAGAGCAATTGCTAAATAAAATATATGTGGACAAAATGGGAAGGGGAAAAAAATATGTACTCTGGCTGTTGTAAGGAAAAAAAATCTGAAAATGGCAGATTTGGTGTAAAATCATGAAATCAGGGAATAAAAGCAAAAAAAGAAAGAAGCCAAGGTGAAAGCAAGAGAGTATCCATCAGCTTTTCCTATTCTGTAGTGTGCTCATTTTATATCTTATTGTTGTATCACGCTTTGACTGTTGGGCCAGGGATTTAAGCAGCCTGGGCTAGCCACGTCACGTGTGGTTCAGAGGAAGACTGCAGCTGATTCTGTTTGTGCTGGGATTCTTGTTGTTGTTGTTGTTTTAGATTTGGAAGGGATGTCTGTTATAATTTTAATTCCTTCATCGTTCACGTGCAGCTCCTTGATCTTAGGTACTTGGTCCAGCCGCGAGCCAACACGTCCAACCTGCAGCCGCAGAGGAAGCTGCAGAGCCCACTGCGTCTTGGTGCTCACCAGCTTTTACCGTGTCACAGGGGACCCAGCGTGAACTCGGGAATCGAGGCTCGTGTTCCCGGAGGTGCTAGCTGCCTGCTGGCCCCCTTGGGACATCAAGGGCATTTTGTCTCTGAACACTGAACTCCTGTGCTTCAAATGCACTGCAGAGAGATGTGCCGCTGTTAAATTCTTGATACACGTTCCTTTTCGGAGCTGGTTTTACCTAATTTAAAATATTTTCCGGGCATAATTTAATGTTCTTTTTGGTCCAGTTTCTTCTTACAGAGCTAAGAAAGATGCTTGAGAAACAAGGGCAACCGGGCTCTCTTGCAGATTTTGGGCAGAAGAATTAAATGCTCCTTCATTAGGCTTTTTCCACAGGAGAGCCTTGAAAAAGCATAGCAATATTTTTTTTCAGAAATTTCTCGGTATTATCGGAAGAATGATGTATCCAGGCAAACCAACTAATAACCTCATACTTTTACTCAAAGCAGTAGCACAGTAGTTTTTAGCCTGAGCATAGTTTTTCTCTTTGACGTACCAGAGGTAGCAGCGATTACGTGGAAGCTTTTGCTGAATGTATGTGGTAGCTTCCCCAGGTATTTGGGGTTGATGTTTGCAGGTAGAACACCCAGGTGCGGGTATGGTGACGCCCCCTCTGAAAGACGAGGAGGTTTCCAGACCCTTCTCTTTGAAGGCTCTGAGAAGGTCTTTGCTGCTCTCAGCAAGCCTTTCCTAAAGCCGGCTTCCTCGCTCCACGGACATGTGGGCAGCAGGAAGGATGTTACGGGACGAAGGTGGGGAACAGATCTTGGGGCCTGTCCTTGTAGGGTGGGTGCCGTGTTGGCAGTCAGGTGGGTTTGGTGAGGTGTCTTTTAAAAGCCACTTAGCAGCTCTCGAGCCAGTGGGATAGGCCACCTAGAAAGGACCTCTGGCCGGCGTGAAATCCATCCCCTCCTTGTTGCAACCTCTTTATCGTAAAGGTACCAGCGGTGTGAGCTGTTTGTTTAAAAATGAGGGGAAAACCCCAAACCTTTGCATCTGGTGTTCCCAGTCTGTGTCCTGAGCTCAAAGCCTGACGTTCCCTTTGGTATGGTTCAGCCTCCTTGGCTTTCTTGCTGCTAGATTTAGGCTAGGGCACAAGGTGAGCCGCGCTGACACCCCTCTGACAGCCTCACGCTGCGGTGGCATGCACGAGTGGACGAACATCTCCACTGTAGATAGTCCAACAGGGCTTCACGGCCTGAGGCCTTGAGGCCCTTAACGCTTCTTAGGGGATGCATTTGGACACCACGAAGGTGGTTCTTAAACTCATCGATGTCTGGAACAGACAGTGTGTTCTGGCTCTTTTGGACTCTGCAGGAGTTGCTCCCATCGTTGTCCCTCGGTGAACCTGTCTCCTGCTCCTTGCCTTGGCTTCACGCTTCTCGTTGCTTTTCAGGACTCACTAGACTGTTCACGCCCTTTGAGTGTGTTGTGAGCAAATTAAGAACAAATTGAAATCCCGTCAATAAGAAATCCTGGCAGAAACAAGTTAGCTAAATCTGTTTCTGTTTTCTCAGAAAAAAAAAATGGGGTCTGTGGCTATGGTTTTCATCACATGTCCTGCTTCTCATGATCCCAAATACCTTCAAATTCCACTTCCTCTGCACTTTATCCCCAGTGACTAAAACACTAGAGGTGAGTGAGCCTTTGCTATTAACATCAGCACTTTTTGTCTATTTTGAGCGAATTGCTGTTGAACAGTCAAGGGGAGTCAGATCCATAAATCTGTGCCTGGCATCCGTACCTTGATATTCCGCAAGTTCAGTAGGGCTTGCTTCTTGCCACTGTTTGTGTACAGATAAAATCCAGCCTTGGGAAAATGTAGGGTCGTGCCAGTGGAGGGACTGATCAAGGGCTCCCTTTAGCTGATTTCTGATTCTATGGCTAAAAGGGGGCAGAAGAAAAGCTGTTTCTGGAGAATCTTGATGTATCTTGGAATCTTGAGCTAGGTGCTGCTCAGAAAGCCAGGTTAGCTCTTGGGAAGAAGAGAATAATTTTAAGCATTTCTGCTTGGGCATCGTGTATGATAACTGTGTAAACATTAATGTTGTTTAATTTGCTGTCTTTCCCCATTTCCTTAAATTATGTGTGTTAGTGCAAAAGGCTTTAGCTGCACTCGGAGATTTCCCCTGGCAAGAGGGAGATGCGTAACGTAGGGAAAGGAATAGCAGTGTGAACGCAGATGGAGTCTTAGAAATGATCTCCAGCACTGTAATGTAGAATAATGAGGTGATAGGGTTTTCAGATAGCTTCATCTTTTATATTTGTATGGAGATCAGGAAAAAATGAAGTAATTTGAGTAATTTGTAGTTTGTAGGAATAGTGGAGACAAGCACAGATTTCACGAAAGGGTTCAGAAGGAGCCCTTCACAAATGTCTCGGGGAGCCACGTTTGCACCTTAACAGGGAACAAATGTTCATTGGAGCTGGAGGTACTCATGCTAAAAATTGCGAGTGTCGGGGACCAAATTTGGGGCAGCTTGTCTGGAAACCAGAGGACTTGCCCGTTCAGCATTTCATCTTTGTTTCCCTTCTGATGACCATTATGATCATTAGCACATGGGATCTCTGACTGTTGATCTTGGATCCTCAACATCTGCTTTTGTTTGCATAGATTTGTGACTGAAATTTTGTTGCATACAAACATCTTGGACATATGCTGCATAGTAATGGGGAAAAAAGCACGCCAGACTCAAGTTGTTTTTGATCAAAATAGAAAAATGTGAAAAGGTCACAAATTAGAAGATTCTGCAGTGAGGTTTGACGTCTTGAATTTTACGCTACGAAAAATGAGGTTGGCTTAATTAGATGGAAGTTTCCTATTTGGGAAAAAAAATAATAATAGAGAAAAATATCCAAAGCTATAGGTAGGTAGATTTGCTGTATTATGATATTCTAGTTTTTGTTCTGTTGTTAATCATGGTCCAGTTCTTAAAGTGTGTGTTTGGTGATCTCATCTCATGACAGTTTATCTTGAGTTGACAGAATCTGTCTCACTTTTTTTTTTGGAGGATATAAGGGTTTTGGCCAAGATTTTCAGGAGCTGTGAACAATTCTTGTTTAGAGAGAAGGGATTGCATGATTTATGAGAACAAGATTTTTTTTTTTGACTATTTTAAGCCCCAAATTGCTAGTCATGCTTTTGGTTATTTTGGCCCCCATGTTTCACATCAAGTGACAGCAATATGTGAGTGAATTAACTCCCAGAGTTTACTCCTGTTCCCTAGATATCTGGGGGGATTTTCACAGGCAGATGAAATAGAAATGTCTATGTGCACTTCAGCAGTTTTAGCCTCTTCATAAATATCCACATATCCCCAAAATCTCTGTGGCATATTGGAGTGGTGGTGGTCAGTGGTGCTGACACGCAAAGCTTCAGCTGTCTCTTGGCCATGACTTTCTGGATGTGTGTTTGCTTCCAGTCCTAAGAGTAGACTCTTTTGCAGTACTTCAGAGCTAGTGATTTTAAACTGTGTGTTATGTACAAACGTGCAGGGGGGCGGGAGGGGGTCTCGTAGAGGTCTAATGGCATGCCTTGGGGTTGACCATGTTGCTTGCTGGCAGTGAATGCACCATCAGCTGTTTGTATATGCCACATTTATAGGGAACTGATCAATGGGAGGTTGTGGGGGGGGTTG